TTTGTATTATTTTTAAAAAGCATAAACTATAATGTTAATATATTAATGCTGATATTTCTCTAACAGGCAGGAGTTGCCTTTAAATACAGTAAAAAAAATTTTAGAGAAATCCTATTTGACCTTCAATGACTTTATTAAAATTAGCATATCACCCTCAGTCAGGTGAATAATATATTGGTAAGTATGAAAATAAATCACCTTATTTTTCTATAACATTGGTTATGTATTAATGTTTGTTTCTATTTCATATAATATTCTAATTAAATATTGGAGTCTTTTAGTAAAACCCACATCTTAGAAAAACACAAGTTTTAGAAATAACTCAAAGATTCCTGCAAATCACCACTGGTATCTGTTCAGGAAAGCATCTGCCCCCATCCTTACCAGCGCTGTGTCAAAGAAGTCTTCTGTAACACTAATCAGAGATGTGTCTGACGCTAGATGGTCCATGATCAGAAATTCTACTGTTCTTTCAAACCAGGAAGCCATGTACACAAGAGAAGAAACACTGATGGAACCCCCATAACTGTATAACTACTTCCTATTTGATACAATTTCACAAGATAATTCTTTTGCTACAGCAAAATAATTTCAAAGACCTTTTTCCATTCCACCACGTTTCAATGAGGCCTGTCTCTGAGGCCTCCATCTAGAACAGTGGTTCTCAACCTGTGGGTCGCGACCCCTTTGGGGGGTCGAAGGACCCTTTCACAGAGGTCGCCAGGTACTCGTATGTGGGCGTATCTGCATGTGGGCCTGGAGAGAATAGAGGAGCGGTGTCTCAGTTCCTAAGACCATCGAAAATATGTGTTTTCGATGGTCTTAGGCAACCCCTGTGAAAGGTTGAGAACCGCTGATCTAGAACATTCCGGGATAGAATCATACTGCTACAGAGGTACAATAAGTAAGAATGGGGGTTTGGCCAGAAGCAATACCAGGAAGCCATATTAATGGGCTAGTGAGGAAGGGTTGAGAAATGAGCCTCCCAAAACAGAAGTTCCTGTCGTCTGGGAAGCTGGAGAAGACAAGCTATCAAAGGAGATGCAGAATTTGAAATGTGCTCCAGAAGTACAAGCAGTACAATAAACGTGCCTAAGTCTGGCTACCTTTCTTTTGCCCAAAGCTTCCAGCTAACTGGAGATTCTCCTTGTCTATAGGAACATATAGCCAAGTTCATATTAAGTTGCTAGGATTGGCATGATTTTAAATAAACTTCTATAAACCCTCCTACAACATATTTATTCAATAAAGCAAAAGCCATCTTTGGACCGGTTTTGCTCAGGCTGGTCACTCTTAAAAAAAAAACAAAGAAAAAATCCTGCACACATGTTTAGAAATCATCATTTAAACACAAAGTAACATGAGTTTGTGATGAACAATGCTTAACAGGAGCGGGGACTTGGAAACTGTCCAATTTGAAGCCAAGAACCCAAGGTACCCCAGCTGAAGAACATGAACAAACCAATCAGCTCTCACCTTTGGCTGCATATTAGGAGAATCGGGGGAGCCCTGAAACACCTTGATGCCCGGGACCCACCACAGACCCAGTAAATCAGAATCTCTGTTGAGGGGACCCAGGCAGTGCTTATTAAAGCTCTCCAGGTGATTCTAATGTACAGCAGGTTGAGAACCACTACTGTGTTCCAAGTTGATGTTTCCTTTATCTCAAATCAGACAAATATTTGCATTAGCTTGAATCATCCACCTCCTGAAGCAAACGTTCCTCCGACAATCGGAGGGAAGAAATGCCCCTCTATATAGAACTCGCTGCTAAGGAGACAATTTCTCCCTCCCTCTATTCATACTCAAAATTCTATGGTTTTAAATACATTTTTGACACCATTCCATCTATTCCCCCAAATCCTCTCCCCCTCCCAGTTCACCAAAATATATTGGTTGAGTATAGATACAGAGAAGGGGGGGAAATGCCATATTATTTGATCAAGACTTGGGACTAGGGAATCACTCCTGAACTAATTTATATGCCACGATCACACATGGTCTGACAGATACACCTGCCCCCACAGCTGTGTCATTACCAGAAGCCAGGCGAAATATTTATTTACAAATATGATAGTTACTGTTCGTTATGTATATGGTATAGGACCGGTTGCTTACTCCTCCTGGATTTTAATACACGACTAAATATATTCCTTTCTGTAGGAAATTCTTGTTCTATGGAGAATAACATCCCAGCACAGTTTGTGTTGACCTGCAAACACAATTGGCTAGTATCCCATCCATTTTGATAATATCAATCTACTCTTCTTGGCCAAAACTTACATGAAATAACATTACATGCTTTAGAATGTGTCTAAATTACGGTTATGAAATTTCCATCACCACTTAGAATTTCAGTGGAATATGGAAATTCCTATTTGATATCAAAACTCCAATGGAGATTTGATCTGACACTTTAAACTTTTGGGAGGGTATTCTTAAATCAAAATAGGAAATTCAGGTTGGGGCAGATTCCAACTCATCCCTGAAAAAAATCAGCTTAAGTTTCCAAGGTACCCCCTGGGATGTCCTGCTCCATTTCCTTTGAAGTTTTATCTTCTCTTCCCTACTTCCTATTATTTGCATAAGTGTGTATCAGGAGTCAGGTGGGGCTAAGTGCAGAAAGAAATATATATAGTTCGTACAATATAAGCACAATTCTTAGATAACTGCTCCCCCAATGGACTTAAGGAAAGAGGAGTTTACTCTTTCTCCCCTGGAGGGGCAGCTGCCTAGAGGCACTTTCGAGTATAAAAAAGGCAGAGACAGATCTCCTTGACCCAACCTGGTCTTAACAAGCTTCAGGTCCTAGAGTCCAGGGGTAAATCAAAGATGTAATTACCAGCCAGATCACCCTTCTGCTCTTCTATCTCCCTCCATTGCCCCAACAATAAATAAATCTTCTCAGAGCTAGAAAATCTCATCATAAAAAGGGAACTGCAGCAAGAGATTTTGCAAACACTGCTTTCCTTCCAGATACCATTACAAAGGCACTCATAATGTTAATGTCTGGTTATTAAAAAAAAGAACAGAGATTCATAATTGGGGTGATTTAGAATAAGCAAAAAATGTTTTTGTCATTTGTTTTTTCTGATTTAACTGGGATATTAGAAAGTTGGAAAAGTGGGCTATGGCAAGGGGAAGTATTTGATAACTTATCTGGGACCAATCTTGCTACTAATGTCTATTAAAATACTTACAGGGCCTTTTTTTTGGGGGGGGGGGATAGTCTACTCCCTACTCATCCTGTATTCCTAAGTCACATTCACTAATAAAAACATGTGATTACTGCTTTGGCTTGTCAAGGGGAGAAGGAGTGTGTCTCTCACTCATTCCTGTACACTCCCAAAGTGCCCTGTCCAGCACATATATCAGGAAACATGTTGAACTCAATTTTTTATTAGATATGGGCAATAAGTATTGTTACCAATTCCTTTTCAAATTTGATTTCAAAGGAACAGAAATACCAAACTTAACTAGATAACTGAATACACTCTAGTTCCTTAAGTTACCCAAAGCCATACAAAATTAAAACGTGACACTTATCTTTGAGATCAGTCCCTGTCGAATTAGCAAAGGCTCATCTTCTTTGAGGCCATCAATGAAGAATCGTTGAATACATTTCAGCAACAGTGAAACACACTGAAATTCATTTCTATCCAGTGCCTAGGAATGAGACCACACTAAGTCAAAAGCCTTACAATGAAAGCTGTTAAGAGAGTAGGTCCTAAGAGTTCTTATTACAAGGAAAAATATAGATTTTACATTTTCTTTTATTTGGTATCTGTGAGATAAATATTAACTAAACTTACTGTGGCAATCATTTTACTATATATGTCAAATGACTATATTGTACACCTTAAACTTACACAGTGCTATGTCTATTTTAGCTCAATAAGAAAGCCTTACAACATATAATTACACATTGGTATTCCAGTCAGAAAACAAAACAAAACAACTTGCCTTATATATTGATTTGTTGAGATGGTATAACACACGATGATTATATTTTTGAGGAACATGGCTCACTCTCTGTTGAAAATAGTCTTCTATTGTCTGAAATCCTTTATCATGAAATGCATCAATAATAAGTGCTTGAAGCTAGAAAGTTGATAGTTTGCAAATTACTTTTTCCCCAAAATAACCATTTGTTTCACAGTAACATTTCTAATTATCATTATCAGTAACAATTCAGTATGGAAATAATAGAGGATAAATATACAATAGAGGTATAGCTTGAACAGTACATAATCATGTAGCCAATGACTGAGTTTGCTGGCTTTAGACAGTACAAGCACACCTCAGGGATATTATGGGTTCATTTCCTGACCACCGCAATAAAGCAAGTATCGCAATAAAGCGAGTCATAATCTTTTTGCTGGAGAGTCCTACCTTCAGTTTGTAAAATATGCAACACCTGTGAAGTGCAATAAAGCGAAGCACACTAAAACAAGCTAAGCCTGTAGCTTGCAAAACGTGGTTCCTGGACTACCATCAGCATGGGCTTCACCTGGGACTTGTTAGGAATCAGGAATTCTGGCGGGGGAGCCCTTCAGGTGATTCTCCTGCGTGCTAAAATTTGAGAACCACCAACTTAGGGAAACTGCATTTGAATTACAGGTATTCATGGGTGAAGAACTTTTATCCTCAGTAATGTTAGAAATTCTAAACACTAAAAAATTCATATCTACTGTCACTCATTCGGGGACATGAATGGTAATAAACAAAGAAAATGAGGGCCGGCCAAGTGGCTCAGTTGATAAGGGTGCAAGCTCTGAACAACAGGGCTGCCAGTTTGATTTCCACATGCGCCAGTAAGCTGCGCCCTCTACAGCTAAGATTTTGAACAGCTCAACCTGGAGCTGGGCTGCCGGGCGTGAGTGGCTGTCAAGGGCGTAGGCTGCAGTCGGCTGGTGTCCAATGGCCAACGACAGACTGCCTCAGCCGGGAAGAGCACAATGATCACAATACCAACATGGACCAGTGAAGTGAAGTCCTCCACAACGAGACTGAAGAACAAAAAAGGACAACAACTTGGCTGTCCCCCTCCCCCAATTCCCCAATTAAAAAAAAAAAATACAATACTAATAACCACAGATAATGCTGATAAATATGCAATTGCCATAATGAATGAAACTGATCTTTTCTGCCTGAACATTGGCTAAGACATACTTCTAAATATACTTACTTGAATAACACACTTCCTTAACTGTCTGTACTATAGAGACAAGATTTTTTAATTTTAAAAATCCAATCCTACAGGCTAAATTACAATATACAATATTATTTTAATAATGGGGCATTGGTACACAGCCCCAAATTCCACTTCTTCTTAGTACTGACTTAAATGGGGAGATAGCATTTGAAATTAAGAATTTAACAGGATATTTTCTTTTTGTAATTACCACATAGTGAACCATTCAGTGCCAAGTGTGTTAAGTGTTCTGCAGATATCCTCATTTAATCCTCACCAACACCCTGACAGAATCTTTATCTGGGATTAATAATAGCAAGGCTGGGAAAGGTTAAGAACTTGCATGCAATCACTCAGTTGAGATTCACACTGAGATTCTCTGACTCAGATGCTAACCTTCTGCCTGCTTGAAAACTCGGCCTGGTTTCTCTGCACTCAGAATCAATCCCAACACTTTGCTGTGGTCTGCAGGCTCTGTATGATTTGATCTCTGTCAGATTCCTCTGCCCGGCTTCCCTGCTAATAAGTCCAGCTCTTCCTTGCCTCAGGGCCTCTGCACCGGCTCTCCGATGCCTAGACGGCTTCTCCCCACCACTTTCCACCTGGCTCCTGGTCACTCCTCAGGTCTCAGCTTCAGTATCACCTTTTTCAGGTTAAGTCTTCCAGGACTTGATCTAAAGCAAGCCAAGTGCCCCCCTCTACCTTCATCTATTCTCCATCACAAGAACCTGTTTCTTTTCTTCCTACTACTTTCCTATGGTTGGTAACCTGCTTCTTAAACTCACTGCCAGACTGTAAGCTCCACCAGGGCACAGATTGTGTCCATTTTGATCAGTACTGCCTATGTCCACCTAGAATAGCGCCTGGAACAAAATAGCTTAGACTAGGGTATTGGTAGGATAGTCAAAGGTAAAATTGACAAGACATGGTGATAAATTAGATGTGGGAGATCAGGGAAGGAGAGGAAGCAAAGAAGATTTCTCTGCCTCTGGCTTGAAGAACTGGAGGAGCAATTGTTGGGCTGGCAGCCCAGAAACAGAACTAGAAAGAACACATACAAAGAATACAAAATTAACTTGTTCTTTACATAGAAAGCATCCTGGGCCATTCCACTCCCATCATCTTCCATAACAGACTGCAAAGAACCTTCTTTTTCCTGTGTACAATAAAAAGATGTGGTTTTTTTAAAACAATTTTTAAAGAAATGCATTTCAAGTTTTAAAAATAAAACAAGAAATAAAGGTTCATATTTTTCCTGAACAAAAAATTTTTGTTTGCTCATGCCCCTGATTATAATTCTAAGATACTACTTTAAAAAAATATATTTTTTTATCCAACTTTATCATAAGAAGCAAAGCAAGCATCATTGTAATTCAAAAACCCAGACTCAGACTTTTTTTTTTCACCAGCAGTGTATTCAATTAACTCGATGCTTAAAAATAGGACTGGCGGTATCGATCCACGCCCCACCCGGGATCACGGGCGTTTCAATGATTAGCATTTGCCTTGCGGGGGCTAACTGAAATCCCAGCCCTTGGAACCACAGATCTGGCGCCCGCGTGAGTGAACGTCACTGCACTAAGTATGCAGCAAGGTGGGAAATCGGCTGGGTAAATAGCGGAAGCACCTTCAAAAGAACCATCTTATTGCCTTCCAAACATTAAATTCTTCAATTTCTCCTTCCCCGAGTTTTGCTAGCATGGGACCAGAGGTTTCTATCCTGCCTCGGAGTGTCACTGAAAGCTGACAATAAACTCCAAGCAAACCTAAGAAAGTAGGAACGCTCCAAGGAACCCCCAAAGGCTCGTTCCCCGGCGGCAGGGGCTGGTAACCCACGCTGGGCCTCTGGGCGAACACTAGAGGCTCTGCGCCTAGAGCCTGAGAGACCGCGCGCCCTCGCGCCCCCCTTAAACCGCGCAGAGGAGGTCCGGGATAAACAAGTGCCCGGGGCCTCCCAAACTCACTCACCGCCTCCATCTCGAGGCTGCCGGCCAGGCTCCGCGCACCTGGACCCTGGGCGCGACACGCAACTGCGTCCCGCTCAGCTTCCCGAGATTCCGCTTGGGAGGCGCTGCCCCCAGGAAGTCTAATTGATGAACCCGCCCCTGAATACTAGAATCCGGTATTTGAGACTCAAGATACGTTCCCAATTAACTAACAATCCTGGTCAGGCCACCTGGGCGCGCGCGCACACGCCTTAAGAGAAAGATTGCTCAAGGGATGTGAACTAAGAAACTTAAACATTCTTTGTGTGCAAAATTCTACACTGATAGCCCCCCACCCCACACACACTTTGCGTTTACAGAAGACATTTGTTTACATCCAAGCAAAACATAATATAACCAGAATCTCAGCCAGTCAACCCAAGACTCTGCGCCCATTAGAAATGATACTTATTTTAAAACTCGTAATGTCCGTTTTCTGGTAAATATGATGTAAATATACTTACATTAATTTACCTATTTTAATCCCAACCTAGCAAATTCCAAGTCTTTTTCCTTACTTTTGAATTAATGAGCTTTTACGATATCAAAATAGTAACAAAGAAGAGCCAGCTGTGAACATAAAGTTCTGAATCAGTGCAAATGTTATTACAGAAAAGAATTGAAGGATAGTATTAATAATCAAAATACAGGTTAAATGTATTTTATTTTAGTGACTATAATAATATAATATAAACAATATAATATAATTAAATTATTAATATTAAATTTTAAAACTTTATAATCCATTATTTTCAGATGTTTTGGGGGAAAATATATCCTTCCAAGCTATACGGTTGTTAATGCATTCAAATTTTCAGGCGAAATTAAAGATAATATAATAGACAACACCATCATTTAATTATTTTTATTTTGTTATATTTTCACTTTGATTCGTTTCTTTTGCTAACATGTTTTACCCACATAAATTTTTAAGGCAATTTGGAATGAATATATATATATAAATTCTTCTCCAACTAAATGTGGTGCAGACTCTATTACATTTCTTTGGACACCAAGATCCATTTAGAGAAAAGTATATGATTAATTGATTTGGTTTTAACATTAAAAATTGTATTTGTGTTTTTGAAGGATGAGGACTCTCTAGGAGCATTCCAAAATTATAGCGAAAAGAAATATCCTAACAGTGTTTACAAGAAAACCAGAAATTAATTTCTATGCATTCTGAGGTGATTTTAAATTATTTTTAAAGTTATATTAAAAACATTTTAAAGTATACATTATATTAAACTATCACAATTAAAGACATCGATTTGTACAAAAAATGACATGTCAATTATTTTAACGTTTGAAAGACAAAACAAACCACATAAAAAGCAACTGAATGACAGAAGTTCCAGGAACCTTCCGCAGTCAGTTAATACGATGAAAATCTGTAAATGAAACTAATGGGTGAAGGCTGGACACTCATTCGTTTACTCCCAGACCTTCGTGGTGACTATGTGAGAGTGATTGTAAACGGAAACCCTGACCAACGCGACCTTTCAGGAGAGGAGAACTTTGAGGCAAGGGAGGCTGGGGGATGAACATGTCACTTTGTTCTGCGTGGACATTTCGTTTCTACTTGGGAGGAGAATCCCAGCTTGAAGTCAAAGAAAGAAGAAAATTTGTGGAACTGCCCGAAGTTGCGATTTCCCATCAGGGGATTTCTCCGCTCATCTGCCACCAATGGCTGGCGGCTCTGAAAAGCATTTCATTATTAGATTGACTTTTTGTTAATTAATTTTTATTTTTCAATTACAGTTGACATTCAATATTATTTTATATTAGTTTCAGGTGTACGGCATAGTAGTTAGACATTTATATAATTTACAAAGTGATCCCCCATAAGTCTCCACCTGGCACCATACATAATTATTACAATATTATTCCCTATGCTGTACTTTACATTCCCGTGTCTGTTTTGCAACTACCAATTTGTGCTTCTTAATCCATTCACCTTTTTCACCTAGCCCCCCAACCTCCCTCCCATCCGGCAACTTTTCTAACAATCCCGACTCTGCGTGCCCTTGACCAGGGAGGTAACAGGACAGGGAGGTGGACTTGTTCAGCACAGGCTGTGAGTTTAAATCTCATCGGCTTTCCCCGCCTTTAGCCAAAGGAAAAGACTAATCCTGCAAGAGATGCTAACTAGCCTAGGCGCCCTCCCCGCTGGATCCCACACGGCATCAGTCCCAGCGCCCTGCGCGCGCTTGGCCACGCGACGGTCTAGGGCGCCACAGTCTCGGGGTTTGGAGGTATGTAGATTGCAAGCATGCTTCTCCAACAGTGACCCGCCTTACGGGACCAGCTCTTCTCTGACTAGGGCTGGGAACCGAAGCTTTCCGCCTGCAAAACAAAGGCACAGGGAATACATTCCGGAAACCCATCTTGTCTCGCCGCTCAGCGTGGCAATCAGCGACTTAAGTCACTTCAATCGAATTTTTTATTAGACGTCTCTAAAGTACTGGAATCAATCTAAAAAGGTGGATAAACAGGTGAAGAAGGCTTGGTCTCAGCCCTGGGGAGCCCACCGAGTCCTAGCCCCCTCACCTGGCTACTGCAGTCTCCAGAAAGCCTCCCCAGCTGGAATGAGGGTACATACGACTTTGTTGTGGTATTTCCATGACAATACCAATAAAGACGATTTTTAAAGGGTTGTGTCAGGTATATGGCAACTGAGAATCCACCGAGCCCCAATCCCTCGTTCAAGCAAATAAGGAAACTGAGGCTCAGAGGAAGACGAGGCGAGAGAGAAAGCTATAAGTTCTGCCGGAGCTCCTGCAACCCGGGGCCACAGAACTCACCTCGTCCCTTCTCCTCCCCCTACCTGTTAGCTAATCTTCCCCACCTTCTTCAGGTTCACTTTCCAGGACTGTCTTCCCACTAGGCCGGGTCCCTCCGCAGCCCCCGGGAGCTTGGGTGCACCTAGGTCCGCGAGCACACAGGGACCTTTGGCACTCCCTCGAACGTCACCCCA